CCCCTTTTCATTCTATTCCCCTACTAAGTTAATTTTTCCTATTCCTACTTCCTTTCTTTGTTTATTTTATTGCTCTCAGTTAAATCTTTTATTCTTCTTTATAATCAACATCTGCTACCTACCTCTTCCTTCTCCTCTGATCGCTTTAAAAAAAAATTTCAAACTTTTCTCCAATGTTCCCACCCTATCTTTTCTTTACTTAAGAAACTGTGATCCCACTGAACAATAGAGTTAGGTAGTTGATGCAATTCATACTCCATCCATGTTGAGATGATTATTATCATGCACTGTATTAACAGTGCATGATATAGTAGACCCTTGATGTTGAAGGCCGGATCTAATTCAAAGTTTTGTATTACTGGTACTAATGTTAATCATTGGCCCCACCATTCCTATATAGGTGGCAATTAATGTTACAGATGTCAAAGTAGTCTCTGGCATTTATCTTTATATGTCAGTTACTAACGTTGGTACTACTCCTAGTTCGATGCTCCAAGAGGGGATGGAAAGTGACTGGGACACTTCAAGCCTACAGAGAAGAGACCATGATGCTGAAGAATTCTCACAATTTAGCCAAACAATAATAAATCTCACCCACACAAGATTTAACTCCAGATGAACCTAACATAATTTCAACTCATAGAAGGGGGAGATGAAATCCTCAAACAAACAAACAAACAAACAAACAAAAAAACAAACCAGAATCCAAGGAGGAATAACCAGAACCAATGACCTAAAGTTCCCCTCACCTTGACATCTATACATACATAAGAAACAGAGAAATCTCAGAATTAAAAAAAAATTAAAAATTACACATGTAAGGACATGTATTTTAAAGAGAACGGGGAATCCATTCAATTGATGCAGAAGTCCAGGATCTCTGAAAACATCTCCCCCCAAAATTCAAAATACAGACTCCAACAGATAGAGAAGTGAATGACTTTCCAGAAAAAGGTTATAAAATTAATTATTAATAAGTTCAATGAACTAAAGGAAGACCTAAGAAATAAGAGAACCAATGCAGGAGATGAATACCACTTAAATAAAGAAATAGAAATAGTGAAGAGAAGCCAATCAGAGCCCAAATGAATGACACAATGAATCAAATTAAAAATTCACTTGGAAGCACCACCAACAGAATAGATTTTTTAGAAAATAAAACTTCAGCCTTCAAAGACAGAACATCAATTCTTAAAGATAGGACACGTGAATTGAGTATATGGGATACAATAAAGGGGAAAATAGTAGAACATGATCAGAATATACAAGAAATATGGGACAACATCAAGAACCAAACATAAGAATCACTGGGATAGAAGAGAACATGGAGATACAAGTTAAAGGCATCAAGAGCACTTTCAATGAGATTGTTGCATAAAACTTTCCCTATATCAGAAATGAGAAACATATACATACAGGAGACGTACAGAGCTCCAAACAGACCAGACCAAAGAGAAGTTCTTCATGTCACATCATAATCAAAATGATTAATATAGAATATAAGGGAAGAATATTAAAAGCTACAGGACAGAAACATTAGGTTACATTTAGAGGTAAATCAATAAGGCTTAAATAAAGAAATAGAAATAGTGATTATCAACACAGACACTAAAAGGAGGGCCTGGGATGAGATATTTCAAGCTCTAAGAAAAAACAACTGCCAACCAAGAATGCTATACTGGGAAAACTTTAAGTTTATAAACTAAAGAATACATGACAACAAAGCCAGCACTACAAAGAATCATCAAATACAAAATACATGCAGAAGACCCCCCAAAACAATACCCAAACTCACAAATAAGTGAAGTTCAATAGAAGATTAATAAGCTAAGTGAGAATCAAGACAGAATTAAATATAACAAAAAATCAAAGTGACAGCAAACCACAAACACATATCCATAGTAGAATGAATGAATATAAATGGTTTTAACTTTTCAATTAAAAGACATAGACTAACAGAATGGATCAAAAAACGAGGTCCAACTATATGCTGTTTGCAAGAGACTCATCTCATTGGCAAAGATGCTCACAGACTGAAGGTAAAATGATGGGAAAAAAGCATTCCATGAAAAATGGATTTCACAAGCTGAAGTAGCTATCCTTGACAAAACTGATCTCAAGCCAAAATTAATCAGAAGAGACACAGAAGGCCATTATATCCTGATTAAGGGTAAAAAACATCAAGTAAATATATATGCCTCATAGTAAATATACTCATAGTAAATATATATGCCTCAAATGTCAATGCACCCAGTTATATTAAAAATATACTCCTTGTATTATTTTTTACTCATTAAATCTCAAATATATTTCCAACACAATACTACTGGATGATTTCAACATACATTTATTATCAAAGCATATAGTCAATAAAGATATATCCAATCTAAATACTATTGTAAATCAAATGGGCGTAATAAAAATTACAGAATATTTTACCCTCAAACTGCTGAATTCACTTTCTTCTCAGCAGCTTATGGAACCTTTTCCAAAATACATTATATTCTAGGTCAAAATATAAGTCATATATATATATATATATATATACACACACACACACACACACATTATGTATGATATATGTGAGGACAGTACCTTTCCTAAAATATCATTTATCTAAGAATAATACATAGAGATAATCATGTGCATACACAGAAAATTTCTTGTATGGTTATACTATAAACTTTAAATAAATTTATAGCTCTAGGAGACAGATCAGGAGGACCAAGCAGATAGAGCAGGTGTATTTACATTTTGCATTATATCCTCTTAAACAATTCTATTTTTAAAATATGACCTGTGGTAATCTTATGATAAGTGAGTTATTTCTCAAAATATACAAGTAAATGTTTTACATGAAATTTTGCCACTTTACTCAGCATCCCAGCCATTCCCACTTTTATGTAGTATTTTGTGTCACTCCCCAACATTGATTCTTCATTTTTTAACCCTTAGATTCAATCATCTCAGAGAGGTGGAGGACTTGAAGATTTGTGAGGAAAATGTATGGCTAAGCAGCTGCATTGCCATGCATGTGTGGAGGGATTGGAATGGGCTGTGTAAAAAATTGTGAAGTTGGAGTAGTGGCAAATCCCCTCTATTTTTCATGTACTGTGCATCATACAACTACAGATTGAGGACATCTGATTAGAGAGTGACTATATCATGTGGGAAGATAGATTTTATAAAAGCTTGGAGATGCAGAGAGTTTTGAGAGAAATTCATCTGGTAGCTTCTACATTTTTAATATTTGTCTTAAGTCCCTAGTAGGTACATCAGCTTGGGGGTAGATAGGTTATGTAGGGCTAAGTTGAATCAGGGCACACAAAAAAAAAAACCCAGATCAGATGGTGAACACTGCACAGCATGGTTGTTTGGTAGTAACTTAAAGCCTGAAAGATGGCAAAGCCTGGGTATTGAGAAGTTCCTGACAAGGGAGATTTCAAGTTTGTTGATTAAACAACTTTTTAGTGTTCTTAAATTTGATTAGCCTCAGGAGAGAAAGGTAAAAGTTTTGTTCAGTTTTCTTCCTTCACTACATCCCTAGTGTGTCTCTGAACTTGTGCAAGTTGTTCCTCAGTGAATAACTAACTGTCCTTAGAGACAGATAAATGGAAGAAGGAAGCAGAGGATAAGAGAGATAGAGAAGGCTGAGCTCCCCCCAGCACTAGAATTTCTGGGCTTCTTCCTAAGCTCTGAGTGTGGGCAGGGGTCTTCACTATGAATGGAGATAGCAGCAGCTGCTCTTTCTCCTGACCACAGCTCTGTGCTAGCCAGGCAAGAGACAGTCTAAAGGAGATCCCTGGAGAGTTGTGGAACTTTACAGTTAAGCCCCCTTCTCTGGAGGTAAGTGTCTTCCAGGGGTTCCTTCTTGTGAAGTAGAGAGTTGGAGAACCTCATCATGTAAGGGCTGGACTTGACGGTGTGCTAGAACAGACACCTGCAACCTGAAGAATGGATGAGGTAGCTGTATACAGGGTGAGCTCTATGTCAACTCCTCTGTAGCAGAGGGCAGGTCGCCCTTCTCTCTGCCTGTTATGGCAGACACAGTGCTCTGCCTTTGCCTATGATCCTGCCCTCTTGCTCTGCCTGATCTTCCTGTATCTGCTTTCCATTCTGTAGTGATCTCCACCAACAGAGAGTGCAGGTTGACTGCATTTTAGAGAGGAGTGAATGGGAAAATGCCAGTCAGGCTGGTTATCTCTGTTCATTCACTGATTTTTAAATCTACTTTTTAATGTATTCATTTAAACTATTTATAGAGTTCTTCTTGGCATTGGTGATGTAGGGAAGACAAAGTGAATGACATATATAAAAACCTAAATTTGAGGTTAATTAAATTTGAGATTTTTGAGGCCAAACGTTTTCTCTGATAAGCGGATGCTAATCCTTAATGGGTGGGAGGGAAAATGAAGGAACTTTGGATTGTGCAGAGGGGAGTGAGGGTAGGGTAGGGGGTGTGGAGATGGGAAGAACAGTGGAATGAGATGGAAATTATTACCCTATATACACATGTGACTACACTGCTGGTGTGACTGCACCATGTTCAGCCAGAGGAAGGAGAAGTTGTGCTCCAATTGTGTACAATGTGTCAAAATGCATTCTACTGTCATGTATAGCTAATTAGAACAAATTAAAAAATAAAACAAAATTTTAAAAATTTGGGATTTTGAATATAAATTAATAAACAAATCAAGTATATGATTTGAGATATGTATGAGAGTCAATAGTAAGAAAAATACAGTGTAATAAAGGTTAGAAAGTGAAGGTGTGCTATGTCATTTTAGAGAGGATGAGAGGAGATGGCCTATGAAAGGAAGCTGTTCAAAGACCAGAACAATGTGAGGGAAGGAGCCCAGGCATGCTAAACGAGGGACCCTTGTTTGTGTTCTGATATTCTTCAGTTTTCCAAGAATTCTGGAGAAAATAGGTGGTCACAGAAGAGTGGATGTGGATTTTTTTTTCCAAGCTGCTGGGGATGAGAAGCAGTATTCTCTCTCTCTCTTGCCCTCTAGATTACACAAGGAACCAGGATTCTGAACTAAATGTTGGGGAATTATTCTAGTGCCACAGAATTTTATCTCCTTGGCTTTCCTGGCTCTGAAGATCTACACCATATCCTTTTTGCTATCTTCTGCTTCTTCTACTTGGTGACACTAATGGGAAACATGGTCATCATTACGATCGTCTGTGTTGACAGACGTCTCCAGTCCCCCWTGTATTTCTTCCTAGTCCACCTCTCTGTCCTGGAGATCCTAGTCACAACCATAGTCGTCCCTGTGATGCTTTGGGGATTGCTGCTCCCTGGGATGCAGACAATATCTCTGACTGGATGTGTTGTCCAACTCTTCCTGTACCTTGCCGTGGGGACCACAGAGTTCACATTGCTTGGAGCAATGGCTGTGGACCGTTACGTGGCTGTGTGTAACCCTTTGAGGTACAACATCATCATGACCAGACACACCTGCAACTCTGTGGTAATTGTGTCATGGGTGTTTGGATTCCTTTTTCAAATTTGGCCAGTTTATGCCACATTTCAGCTTACCTACTGCAAATCAAACGTGGTAAACAATTTTTTCTGTGATCGAGGGCAGTTGTTCAAACTATCGTGCAATGACACTATTTTCACAGAGTTTATCCTCTTCTTAATGGCCATTTTTGTTCTTTTTGGTTCTTTGATTCCTACAATTGTCTCCTACACCTACATCATCTCCACCATCCTCAAGATCCCCTCGGCCTCAGGCCGGAGGAAAGCCTTCTCCACCTGTGCCTCCCACTTCACCTGTGTTGTGATTGGCTATGGCAGCTGCTTGTTCCTCTATGTGAAACCCAAGCAAACGCAGGCRGCTGAGTACAACAGGGTAGTATCCCTGATGGTTTCAGTAGTGACCCCTTTCCTGAACCCTTTCATCTTCACGCTCCGCAATGACAAAGTCATACAGGCCCTTCGGGATGGAATGAAACATTGTTGTCAGCTATTCAGGCACTAGCCTTACCCTGAGGCATTTCACATGGCAAAACACTTATATGGATTCTAGAATAATCTAAGAAGGGGTTATGTATCTTTGAACATCATCATAATCATTATCATTATTAAATAATCCATGTTTAAAATGACTTTTAAGTTATGACTTTTTAACATGGTTAGTTATTGAAATATATTATAATATATATATATATATATATTCTCAAGTTACAAAACATTTCACATAAAACATTAATTAAACATTTTAGTATAAATGTGATATGTGTGATTTCTAAACAGGAAAGATAAGGAACAGTATTCTCTGACTACAGAACTAAATGACTACTTTATCCTAAGTTCCTGAATCCTCTTCCTAAAATTGTTCTGTGCTTTTTGTGGATTATGTAAAGCTTCTTATTCCTTTTCTGCTCAAGCATATTCTCTTGATTTTGGCCTAAAAGCCCTGTTCCTATGGTACTACTCTGTATTTTATTGACTGGTAGAGATAAGAGAGTAGAGTTATTCCACAATTCTGGACCCAGAGGTGGTCATTTTTTAATATCTATATATCTCTAATGTGTAGGCTTTCTCAGAGTGTTAGAGGAGGAGCCAGGTAAGGAAGTATTCTTTTGCCTGTTGACACCAGATTGTGCTGCTGCCACAAAGCATGAGGGCAATGGAGTTGTATTCTGGAAGCTCAAGGGAGAGCTGGGCTTGACTATGGCAGCTGCATATTCCTCTGTGTGTTCCTAGGCTGAATGGGGCAATGCCGAGGGCGGAGGAAGAGGCAGCCTCTGGTCTCTCTTCCTGAGTTTCTCTGTCTTCAGTCTCTGCAAGGTCCGTGGCACTTCCTTTGTTCCCTTTCATTTGTTCATTCTCTCCTGCCCACTCTCTTTGCTGATTTCTCTTTGTGTTACTCTTTTGGTGGCTCCAATTCTGCAAAGTATTCCCGGGCTCTTCTTTTCCTTCCCTCCTCACAAACCCCAGGCCTCCAGGCCATTGTCCAGCTTTCCACTGTGCTGCTCTTTTCAGCATTGGATATCACCTTCCCCCCAGTTCAACTCACGGTATTCCCAATCAACATTTCCACTTCTTATGACATAGGCACAAATTTATCCAGAACAGCATCTAGTAACAACCAAATATTGATACTGAATGCAATGTCAATAAGTGACTGGTTAAATAGTATTTTAATCATATGTTGAAGTTTTATGMAACTGTATCAGGAATGAATATCATTTCTGCAATGAGTAGAAACTGATCTCTAAGTTATACTGCTAAGTGAGAAGAACAAAACACATTGAATTTAATATTCAAACTTTTATGTAAGAAAGGAGTAGAAATAAGTAATATATTCATATCTACCATGTTTGCTTGTGGAAGGTATCATAAGAGAGTAATAATTGATTGCTATGGAATTGTGGAAGTGGGAGTTGGCAGATGGGGTGGGGGAGGCAGTGAGATTTTCATTGTATGCCTTTTAATATTCTTATTTTTGTAACCATGTGTTTGTACTTCCTATACAGAATAAAGAATTTCATTTCTCTTATGCACCTTAAAAGATGTATTCGTTCAACATTCCACTTGTTTTAAAGACTTCAATAAGCCTTATTTAATTACACACATATATTTCTTCAACTGAGGATGTATTTGGTTAAGAGGAGGCTGATGTTAAATCCAAACATGTTGAGAAATCTCTCCAGAGCTTAACATAGAAACTGGTAGCTCAAGAAAAATATTAAGAAATGGAAGTGTATGTATATATGACTACACACTCTCCTTAACATAACCTTATGCTCTAGAATGCATGATATGGAGGAAAATATTACTCTTGGAAGAAGAAGATACTGTCCATTGTAAGGAAGTCTGTTTTGACATAGTAATTACTTTATCTGTGTAAGAGGAACCAATGTCTTGACTCTTTTACCTTTGACTTTTGGGGCAATAGCTTCTTATTATGCTAAGTATCTTTCCATCTTCTCCAAATTGATTACAGAAATACTTGTTTTGCATGTATAATAGTCAGAGTAGCACTTCTCACATCTGGTCCTAGGCCTTCCCTATTGATTTCATCAAAGAGAGACCCACTTGACATCCAAGCCATGCTTTAACACCCAGAAATTCTGGGAAGTTACTGACCAGTGGGTACATTTTTGAAAGTAGAAGATAGTAGATAATTTTTCCCTTTAGAGGAATAGTCATGAGACATAATTTATACATATTCTAGAGTAGGTAGACCCCCAAATCCTGCAGTAAATTGCTCTTAGTAAAATGAAGATTAACAATGCAGACTTTTATGGTTTTACAGGCTTCTTTCTCAGCTTCATATCCTTTGTCACTCATGCCTGCTCTCATGGAATGTATTTACTAGTGAAATAATAACTCTTAAATATTGGCCTCTGGGACCTAAGCTAAGAAATAATGCTTAAATATGGCACTTAACTTTTAATTTGTAAACAAAGAAGAACTCATTTCAGCCATAAAACAATGACATAGGTTAATTTCTATTACTATATATAGATGGTAATCGACTTGTTCAAGATTGTATTGTTAGTATGTGGGGTCTCTTAACTGCTAAATAACCTATACTAAATAGCCTATACTAAATCCTAAATAGCCTATACTACTAACTCATGAAATGCTAATTGCATATCTTTGTCTGAATTACTTGTTATTTATTCTTGTATCAGTTAGGATAGGCTAGGTTATATTATGGTAAAAACCTTAGCATCTTTGTGGTTTGCAACAACAAATGTTTATTTTTATTCCCACTATTTGTCTACAGTTGGTCAGTTGCTCCTCTGTTCTTTGTTGTCTTCATTATAGGACATACTAAAGGGGCAGCCTTTAACAGGGTATGGGCTTAAGAAAAGAGTATAATCAGCTGTTGTCAGATTTCACTGGGAAGAATAAGTCCTGAGGCTAAGACTTCTGTGCTTCTATAATGAATTAAATAACGGAAAAAAAATAGAACACTACTTTCAATAATGTGTTTAAAAACTCAGCACCTGGTAAAACTGAATATTCATATGAAAAGGGATGTTTTTGGAATCTTACTTTATGCTAAGCAAAAATTATTTCAAAATTATTTAAATACCTAGATAGGAGACAAAACCATAATACTCTTAGAATAAAGCATAAGTGGAAAATTTCATGACATTGAACTTGACAATGATTTAATGACTATTATACCATAAGCATAGGGAGCAAAAGAAAAAAAAATATTTGATTTCATCAAAATTAGAAACATTTGTATGTTAAGGAAAAAGTCAAAAGTGAAAAAGCAACCAACAGGATGAGAAAATATTGGTGAACCATATATCAAATAAGAGAATTGTATCCAGACTATATAATGAGTTCTTATAACTCAATAAAAAGACCACTCAATTTTAAAATGAGCAAAGTATCTGAATAGATATTTCTCCAAGGAGCATACACAAATAGGCAACAAGTTCATGAAAAGATGCTTGACAAAATTAAGCATTAAGGGAAATATAAATCCAAATCACAATAAGATACCATTTGATTCACAGTAGGATAGCAAGGATCAAAAAGTTAAACAATGGCAAATGTTGGCAAAGATGTGGGAAAAAATTGCAAAGCACACATACCACTGATGGGCAGGTAAATTGGTGCAGTTGCTTTTCAAAAACTGGCAGTTCCTCTAACAATTTGTCATAGAATTACCATATGACCCAGAAATTCCACTCCTGGGTTTATTTCCAAGAGAATTGAAATCATACACTTAAAAACTTGTTCATGAATGTTTATAGTGGCATTATTTATAATAGTCAAAAGATGGAAGCCACCCAAATGCCCATGATCACACACCATAGAATATTATTCAGTTACAAGAAGGGTTACTGGTTGTACTAGTTAGCTTTTTGCCACTATAATAAATATCTGAGAGGATCAACTTATAAACAGAAAATTTTTATTTTGGTTCCTAGTTTTGGAGGTTTCAATTCCCACATCATCAGTTGGCCCCATTGCTTTTGGGCCTTTGGTGTGACAACACATCATGATAGAAGCACATGGTGGAACAAAATCACTCACCTCATGCATACAGAACAAAAGAGATGAAGAAGAAGGGGTCAGAGAACCACAATCCCAATCAAGGTTATTACCCCAGTGACCTAATGACTTCTAAGTAGGTCCTACCCCTTAAAGATTCTACCATCTCCCATACCACCATCATAGGGAACAACCCTTTAGCACATGGATCTTTGGGGGACACTTAACATCCAAACTATAACACCAATACATGCTACAACATTGAGGAACCTTGAAAACATTATGCTAAGTGGAAGAAGGCAGTCAAAATAGACCACATATTATAGACTCCATTCATATGAAAATCCAGAATATGAACATCTATGGAGATAGAAAGTTGGCGAGTGGTTGCTCAGGGTTGAGGTGAATAAAAGGATAGGACAGTTGTAGCTTTTTGAGGTGATGTTTGCACATATAGCTGTGAATATATAAAAAAATTGAATTGTTCATTGCAAATGAGTGCATTTTATGGCATGTGAGCTATATAAAGCTATTAAAACTAGATGTAGTAATGTTAGTTGGTAGGGAAGTGCTATAAAAGAAAGAGAAATAGGAATGAAAGAAAATATCTTTTAGGGGGAGTGTTGAAATTATAAGGTTGTCAGGGAAAGATAGAGAGGGAAAGATTGTGAGATACTTAGCAATCTGTGAAAGACCATTCCAAGCAAGGTGAATAATAATAAATGGAGAGATCCTAGGGAATACAAAGGCAAAGATGCTGGAATGGAGCAAGCAAAGGAGAATGTAAGGGAATATGAAAATGGAGAGAAGTAATGGAAATGTAGATCATATTCAGCCTAGTAAGTAAGCCTTTTAAAGACCTTTACTTTTTCTAATAGTGAGTTGGAAAACTATTTCAGARTGACACAGCTTTTTCTGTGTAAGAGACAACCACAAAACTCCAATGGAGTACAGCGATAAACTTTTATTTCATGAATTATAGTTTCAGCTGATCTAGGTTAGGCTTAGCTGCTGGTGCTGATGACCTCAGACAGGTTTGTTGATGAGTCTAAGGTTGGATGGGGGTTGACTGACCTTGGCTAGTCCCACATATGTAGCCATGAAAAGTATGGCTTTGATCTCCATGTGGATTGACCACAGAATTTTTGAGGCACCCTTCTCTGAATTGGGCAGATTTTTATCTGCATATTATAAACGAGTACACAAGTTCTGAGAAACTAATTGGCTTGCTTACAGTCAGCTTCTAGCAAATAGAAAAGTTACTTTTTGAATGAAGATCTCAACTTCAAGTCCTCCACAAAGTGCATCTACTAATGTTTATTGCCATTAAGATATATCATTAAGATATATAAAGAGGATCTATTTTCATATGTACAAGAATTTTGTGAGATGAGTATCACTGCCCCATTTTATAGGTAAGGAAATTAAGAAATATGTACAGATTCACACAGCATATTAGAAGCAAAATCAGAACTTTAACCCAATGATTAACTACATATTCATTTTTTAAAAACCCTACCACTTTTGCCTAATAAACGTCACATTTATTCACTTTCTTGAGGATACTGAGACCCCTCTACAATAAAGACTTTATATCAAAGTCCACATGTCTCCTGCATACTTTATAGTCTTATCCTTACCCCAACTCAGTGGGCTTTTTCAGAACTTGCACAGAAGTATCTTCTTTTCTTTGGGGAAATTACTACATTTCCTGGCCTTTGAAGTTTGTTATTACTCTGTCATAAAACAGAAGTGTGGCAATTACAGTTCTTTTTCTCAAAATAGAAGGATTGTGATTTCCTTCTGTTTTCTGAGTTCTGAGACTTACCTGTGGTTAGAATTCAGTTGATTCTTTTTTTTTTTTGAGAGAGAGAGAGAGAGAATTTTTAAATATTTATTTTTAAGTTTTCAGTGGACACAACATCTTTATTTTTTTTTTAATGTGGTGCTGAGGATAGAACCCAATGCCCCATGCATGCCAGGCAAGTGCGTTACCACTTGAGCCACATCCCCAGCCCTCAGTTAATTCTTTTCTTCACCGTAGACTCAGCCTTTCCCTGCTCCTATCCTGTGGCATTTATTTGTTAAAACCACCAGAGAATTTGTATTTCCACAGGGTACTAACATAATTCTGATATTTGTTCCATTCCAAACTCAAAATATTTCTGGTAACCTCCTTCAGGCAACTTCTAACAACTACTGTTATCTCATTTATAAAAATTCTAAATGACTATGCCTATGAACCAACAATTATGAAACCTAGGAATTTAGAAACAGTACTTAGTGTTGTAATAAAAGATAATTTTTGCAGCATTTTATTTTGATTAATCATATATACATTAATTACTGTGATAAATTGTTACTAGATGCAAATAGTAATAAATTCCATTAATTTTATATGGTCATCCCCATGGTTTAACTCTTATTACTGAAGACAACAATTGAATCTTTTTTTCTTTTCATGTCTTGAGTTGTGTGAGTATTTGATATTTTCTTATAAATATAGAGAACAGCCAAGACTTTTCTACTTTTTTCTTGCTGTTTTTCTAGGATGACCAAATGAATGTCATTTTTCCTTTCATGTGATTTCTATTTATCCCTGATATTCCATTCTTTCTCTCTGCCTACCCCTTGCCTCCATCCAGTGTTTTCTGCATGGCCCTTCTCTTTTTTCTCTTTGGCCAACTGGACGAATGGTGGGTCAATATGCTAGCTAGTGCAAGGTTTCTTTTTGTCAGTAGGATATACCTGGTATCTCAAGAATGGAATGAAAGAATATGTCTAATAAGGTGATCTTTGGGGATTAATTGACATCAAAGAAGATGAGTTCACTCTTGTTCCACCCATTCTGTCCTCTAAATGATTCTAATGCCTGTTCATTCTACAGGTTCTCCCTGGTGTATGTCATGTCCAATGAGGATAAAACAAACTGTCAACAGGCTAAACCTTGTTGATCAGTCAGCAATTCTCAGTTCTGTAGAAACAAACCTCATTTCCATACCTGTGCTATTTTTATAAAACTGACCCTGTCTCCTGGAGATGGCCAACATCCAGTCCCTTAGAATATAGAATATAAAAGTTCATTATCTCAAACAGACAAGGACTTTTAACTAGATGTTAAAGGACAGATGGATAAAAGAACCATTAACTAGATGTACTGTGGGAATCCAAAAAGTGTCACAAGTTTGACTCTCACAGGAAATGTGGTTGGGTGGAATGGCTCAGAATGGGGAGTTTTCCTGGTTGTATATATGTAAGTGTATGTATAAAAGTAGGTCCATTAGCCCTGGAGCTCTGCCAATGACCTGTTGAAGACTGTCACAAGGATTTAATGTTCTGCATTTCCCAGACCAGTCCTGATTGTAACTATTCTCTTTTGTGTTTATTTGTTTTTGTCACAGAGAACTGTAATCATTCAGGATTCTTCTCACAGATCCAGCGGTAGCTGACGTCACATAATGCAGCATCAAAAGTCTTTGTTAGACCTATGGTGACACAGTTGAAGTTCTGATTCTGATGGGTAATACTGAAGGAGAAAAGAGAGTGTGGTCAAAGCTCATTATTTCAGTTTTGCCTTTTACAGATTTCAGAATCTAATTGAAGTTTGATTGACTGACTAGTTAGTTTTACATATACTCCTCCTCTGCACTGGGCCTTCCGTTTCAACTCAGACCACATCTTCTAAGCCAAGCTTCTCCAAATGCAGCTCTAAACCCCACCTTTTCCTTTTAATTATTCTCTTCTATGAGTACTCCTAGAGTTCCAGAATTTTGGACTAACTCACTTGTATTTGGTCAGAAACATCTCATTGGTGGTCTCTTTTACCTCAGAAATAATGTTTTCAAGAGGATTTGTGTGTAAGAGGAGAGTACTAGGGGACCCAGGGCCTCAGGCATTCCAGGCAATCATTCTACCACTGAGCCACATTCCTAGTCCTAGAAATAATATTTTAGTATTATAGGATTGTTTGTAGCAAGAGCATAGAAAAAAGTAGGAAAGAAATTTCTTGGCTTTAGGAGAATCTTGATGATAGTGTCTGTTGGCCTTTTTCTTATCAGTTTTTTGGTCATTCAGAGTTCTCAGTCTAACTGCGAAGACTCTGGTTTCATGGAAAAGACAGATGAGTTTTGAGCTCAAGTAAAAATGGAATCAAACTGTAGCTGTACCACTAAGTAGCTAAATGACATTCAACACATTTCTAAGCCTTTCTTATGTTCGATTGTCTGTTGAGCTTTTTCTATGGTATCTTGGTGAATACTAAAGGAAATAATATAAGTGCTTAGCATTGAGTTAGACATTAGAAAAAACTGAATAAGGGGCTAAGGCTGTAGTTCAGTGATAAAGTGCTTGCCTCCTATGTGTGAGGCACTGGGTTTAATTCTCAGCACCACATAAAAATAAATAAAGATACCATGTGTTCATCTATAACTAAACACACATAAGAACAACAAACAAACAAACAGAAAAGAAAATACTGAATAAATGTTAATTTTCTCTCCTCTGTAGGGAAGGCCAGCTGCAGGTTGGGGATTGGACTTGTTGACTGTCTAACTCAGCATTTTCATATGAGCCCTGAGAATATTATGTTTTCTACCAAAGTTTATCCCCGTGGAATGATTCATTGGAGCTATCTCTTTTGAATTAGAGGATCACATCTTCAAGGAATAGATAAGTTGCCTTTGATATATAAAGGATCTACATCTAGGAAAACTTGTAGGCACTTAGAAAGAACATATGATGTGTAATTTGGAGATCTATGAGATACAGCAAAAAATGCTACATATGTGGATTTGTTTGGCTCTTACTCTGAACAAACTATTTACTATATGAATACTCTTCTCTCATCTGTTCTATTTTTATTATGAAAAATATTTGATACTTTCCCTTAACAAAAAATTTATAGGAAATGTGTTTCTAGGACTAGATGGCTTGAAAGAAAGGAGAAAACTAGAACAAGGAGTTGAGTATAAGTCTTTGAACTATTTCAGGTGTGGTCTTTTGAGGCAAACCAGAACAATGCAGGATATTCACATACTTGCCATTGAACACAGAGTTGTTGATCCAGCGCCACTTTTTCTCTGCAGACTGGTATGTTAAACCAATAAAGTACTTCTCAGCATCTGCAATGTGCTGGAGATACTCCTAGAAGTTAAAAAAGAAACAAACAGTTCAACAGCAAGTCCTTTACTGCTGCTTTCCTATAGGCAATGGGAACATGACTGTATTTTATTCAGGGAACTAAGAAAGCTATTAGAGATAGGTATAGATGGGTATCACTGGCACTTGCTATTAACCCTAGAGAAGAAGTTTTTAAGTTTTGCAGGCACCAAGATCACCTAGAGGACTTACAAAAACACAGGTTGCTAGGCTTCTGATTCAGAAGGACTGGTGTAGGAGATGCAGGATTTATATTCCTAGAAAATGACCTAGGATCACACTGAGGGAATGGGGAAGGGAAACTGTACAGTCAAAAACAGGCAATTTCATATACATCTTTTTTATTTGGCATGCCTCTCTGCATAGATTTATTTTCATGGTCAGAAATTCTATATTACAAATGAGGTTGAACCAGGTGATCATGAAATATGTTGAATTGAGAGTCACTAGCAGTCCACTGGTGTGATGAACATTTTCTGAGGTTAGTATGAAGCATGGAGAATGCCAAGGATGGAACTTGGGTGAGTAGAGGGAAAGAGCCATCAGCTTCCGGTCTCATTCTCTTCTCTCTTCTTCCTTTCTTTCCTGTTTTCTCCCCTCTGCCTTGCTCCTAATTTTCTACTGGAAGGTGTCTTTTTGTTTCCACATGGGTATTTGGCCCTAGAGAATCTACAGCATTATGATTCTCATCCCAAATCAAGAAGGCCCTCTTTCAAATTTTTCTCAACTACAGGAGGACTTTTCAGAGGAGGATGGAGAGATAAAGGGGAGAGGAGACAAGAATAGTACTTATAGCACAGTGCCTAACATCCAGCAAATGCTTAGATCTGAAGAGAAGGTAACTATAAACTAAAATACAGTGTGGCCTAAAGTTCATTAAAGCATGGGTTTTGTAGTCAGAGGGATCTGAATTCAATTTCATGTTCTGTCATTTAGATGTATGATCTTGGTCATGTTATTTTCTGTACCCTAATTTACTCATTTATAAAATATAGATAACAGTACATCATCAGGATTATTTGAGGTAAAAGGAGATAATAAACAAATTTTGTATAATGTTATCTATATTGATTATCACAATAATAAAATGCAAACACTATTATATGATTCTTTGCTTTTCATATTACTAATGTGGTTGATTTATATCTTCATTCTTCACTGTGTAAACTGGAATGATACATTAATATCTTATATCTGTGAAGTGTTCACAGATATAAGATATAAGTAATTTTAAAATAACTTTATTTGCATTAGTTCTTTGGTCATTCTCTGCAGTTTAAGTGCCTTGGCCCATCCCTAGGAAAGTAGCCTACTGCTGTGTCTTATTGGAAAAAAACACAGAGTCTGAAYTTCTTGCTTAGATGGAGCTAAAGAACTTGCCCACAGCTACCAGGAAGTCTCCCAACTCTAGGTTCAGAACAAGAAGTTTGAACCTTTCATCCAGCCACTTCTCCATTCTTTGCCAATCACCCAGCCCTGCTCCACTACATTGCCACCATCTCTACCCTCTGAGGCTGCTGTGGGAGGGCTGCTTCACTGTACCATTCCCCAGTCCTCTCACCAGTTTCTCTGGTGTGTCGACAATCGCCAAAGTGGATCCTTTTGATGCACAGTCATCCCTGCTCTTGTTCCAAGACAGTTCAGATGTGGACAAGAAAAAACATCTTCTTTGATGAAAATCCCAGTTTTGGGGGCAGACTGAAGAGATGTGGGGTGAATTGGGAGAGAGAGAGAATGAATGAGATTAGTGGACTGGAGTGTGAATAAAATAATGGGAAATCATAAAATAACAATTATATTGATACAAAAATGTTCTCAACCCGGGAAGAAATTTTATCCAGTCTGGTCTGTTTACTTATGGAGAACACTAAGGGGATAAATTAGAAGGACTTTATGGCTCCTTTAAGCAAAAGTGCTCTATAAGAAAGGATGCCATGAGAAAAGTCTGTAAGAATTTAGTACATGAAAACCTAAGGGGTGGTGAGGAGGTTAAAACCATATGCTTTACCTGTTCCATATCCACTTGTGGGCATTAAGCTGTTCTTAGTACTCCCAAAAGATGGTGGGACTGAAATGGAGAAGAAAAGCTAAAGGTTACTGTGTGGTGGATATAACTTGCAATCATCAGAGTACAGGCTGTCAGGTCCCTGTGACTGTTTGTGTCTGGACATTGGGGATGACAAAGGATACTTGGCCATTCTGAGAATTTTCGGATACTTTTTCTCTTTGAACCATCCATCTAACTAGTACCATTATTTGTCATGCTCAGCACCCAAGTCCTATTTCATGTCCCCCTTCCCTTTTGGGGGTATAGCACTCAGTATAAATGCTGGGGGCATCAGGGGAACAAGAAATGGAAGAGTAATGGAGGAATTCCATATTCCAGGGGAAATTTTTTGCTCTTATGTATGCCTTTGACAGTGTTATCCCTCAAAAAAGCTGTTTGGAGCATTTCCACCTTCGACTCCACACTGCATCTTTGTGGTGCTTGGTGTCTTATTAAATGCTCTACAAAAATTCTTAATCCTGTAACTCTTGGATGCTTCTCTCAGCACTTTCTCAGCTCTAAGGATTGTGACTAACAGGAACAAATTTCAGGATCCTGGGGGTATTAGCAAACAAGGAAGCAGGTGAATATTCCAGATATTTCCTATAAGCAGAGAAGGGTCCATTATTAATAGGTATTAAATACAACTAGGGGAATTGATGGGCTTCTAAGAGGTCTCATCCCCTCACCTCCCCGGGAACACTGGCAATCTTAGCAAGCAACTGCAATGATTTGTAGGCTGGCTGTTCAAACCTCTTCTCAATGACCCACTTTTCCATTATGGATAAAGACCACTTTAGTTTATTCAGATACCAAATTGTTTACTTAAGATTATATTTATAAAACAGACATTAGCATCACTTTTTAATCAGTTTTCTGTTCCACAAGACTCTTTGTAMTATCTAGTAGCTTGGGTTTCATCAGAAACTACTTTGGGATTATAACTGAAGGAAACCAATACATATTTATTGAATATTTTCTTCATTGGGTGCATCAGTTGATACAAATACAAATAATAAATGATCTTTTTCCTAAAGATGTCTTAGAAACAGGTATCTTAAGAGGAAGCAGAGGGCAACTTTGGGAAAGGCTTCAAGAGGAGATGGCTTTAATGGGAAGAGCTTTGTCCTACTTGCCTTGTTATTCCTGTGCAACTTCTGGTATTGTGTCATTTTATTTATAGATGATGACTGATTAGTATCTCCTGTGTTAATTATTCTTCTRTGTTTGGTCTAGCATAATATTTGGCCCACAAAAAAGATGCTTAATATCAAAATTTTGAGTGGTACATAGTTTCTTAATAAACATTTCTTGTGCACTGTTTCAGAGTCTATGAAGCACATTGACATTATATACACTGACTCCATCCTCAGGAAGAAAACTGAGAATCATATTTTCACTCAGGGGCTGGGGTATAGCTCAGCAGTAGACCATGTGCTTTGCAAGCATGAAGCCCTAGGTTCAATCCTTAGCACCATAAGAAAAAATTGTTTTTCCCTAAATCTGGTTTTGTTTTTTCATCTTTAAAAGGAAGATAATTAATTAAAAGGCCTTTGTGGACCACTTGTGCAACCACATTTCTTGGGAGAGGAGACCTTGAGGAAAGTCTTTAAGAATTAAGCACATAGAGGCTGGATCAGGTAGAGAGGAGTGTTCTATTGTGCATGTTACCTGTTCCATAGCTGCTCGTAGAGTTGAACCCATGATTACTTGTATTAAGAATCTGCGGGACTGCAAAGAAAATAAGCTATTGGCTCAGCCCAAATGTGGATACACAATGAATACAACAAGCAAGCCCAAGGGCCTGCTAGGGCACCATGATCATTAATGGGGAATATTGAACTCTCTGACTCAGGTCAGTGGAGATGTGCATGTTTTTGAAATGTCTTTACTGACTCATACTTGTATTTCTGTTCTTCTCTCTTAAGTGGTAGGAATTACACCTTCAGATTGGGTGACGAGGAAAATATCTCTTACCCAACTCAGGGACCTACTCACATTTCCTTCCTCATTTATTGTCTCCTCTGGCTCAGGGACTGGGGAAGATTCTACTTGTTGAATTGCAGTAAAACTTTTTGATATGAGGTATCTTTTCCTAATTAATTCATTTGGATGAATGAATTTATGTGTACACATAGAGAAATTTTCCCTCCATAAATACGGCCTTATCATTGCATTGAAACTGTATTTTCAAATTTTAGCAACAGTAACAAGGCCTGCTAAGTACTTCAGCTCAGATTACCCAGCTAATACTTAAGTAACAAAAACTTTGTGTAGGTCAGTTCTTTATCTCCAAGGTAGACCCAGGAACCTGGCCCACTGTGTGTGCTGGAGCGTAAGATAGGCATTGTCAGTTTTCTTCATGCTGGTTAGTTGCCCTCAGGTGGGCATTTAACTTTACACTCAACCCTGCATTCCAAAATAAGAGTCAAAGAGCAAAACAATAGGAAGGCTGGGGGTAAGAGTTTGCTTCAATACTCACAATACAGTAGAAATAAGGTCACTCCAACAGATTTAAGCACCACTACGATAAGCCCATAGATTATCATGTGCCAGTTCATAATGAAGGGGTTTCTGGAGCCTGTGGAAATCAGAGTAACACCATCAGAATCTGGGGATATGGCTGCTTCTCTTAAGGACTGAGCCCAGCCCAGGGAGGTGTGGAAGGTAGGCATGCCATTGACAGTAGAAGGAAACCCAGGAATACCCAGAACATGCATTGTACATTGTGCTGTTGGGGACCATTGAACTTGGCATTCTCCTTTCCTTCACTCATCTATCTGTTAGCTTTGGGCCTTTGCCTTGACCGCTTTGTGCCTCCTAAACTCAGTCTGAGTTAATCTTCTGTATTTCAAGAATTCTTGGTCTTGAAATCATCCTTGCTTCCAAGGACCTTACTTTGTAGCCTTGGCCATACTGACTTCAGTTGTAGAAACCTGTCTTCAATATGTCAGGGATAGATGACAGAACAGGATTCTCTGAGGATCCGGCATAGGGGAGGAGTCAATAGTCTACACAGAGGGGACAGAAAGACTTACCTGCTCTCTCTCTAGAAGGCTGGGCTGGCTTCCAGGTGAGGGTTTCCTGGTAATTCTTGCTGCAGTGGGAAGGAACCCTGTCTTTTAAGAATACGTTCCTTCTGCTCAGGCAAAGACTTCCTTCTTCACGGTCTCTCCTCCTGGCAGTATCCCTGAGCAAACCCTTCTTCCTGTTCAGTATTGTGGTAAAGAGAGCAGGCGGGGCAAAGAAAGGAAGGTAGCTTCTAGTTAGGCAAGAAGAAGATTTCTGCCAGGGAAGTGGTCATACAGGGGGATGTTTCTAGGAGAATTTAGAAAAGCAAATATGTCACATTTCCTTTGAGTCTGAATTCTTTTTAAATACAGTGTGAAGAAAATATAGTAAAATGTTAGCAAATAGGGAATCTGAGTAAAGCATATTTAGAAATTACTTGTATTTGCCTTATAACATTTCTGCAAGTCTAAAATTATATCAAAATTAAAATGTTAAGAAAAGAAACTTAATGGAAATCACTAATATTAGTGAGCAGGACCTTGTGTAGTCCTTTCACCCTGTTCACTGTCAGCTCTGCGCAGTGCCCCTTACCATGGGCTCCTCTTCTTGGGCTCCAGCTGCTCGCCTTCTAGGACATGTGGTGACTATTCAGTGTTTCTGAGCTTAGATCTCTGCTGGATACAGAGAGTGGGGAGAGAGGAACAATGCTCAAGTCTCATTATCAAGAAATCATTATTCCATATTAAACTTGAAGGTTTCCTCTACTATAAAAGCTATATTTGTTCATTACAAAAAATGGCTAAAAAATATTGACGAACAATTGAGAGCAATTAAAAAAATTTGTTCTAATTAGTTATACATGACAGTAGGATGCATTTTGACACATCATACATAAATGGAGTATAACATCTCATTTTTCTGGTTATAGATGGTATAGAGTTACACAGGTCATGTAATCATATATGCACATAGGGCTCCCTTCACTCCCCCCTGTCTAACCCAAAGTACTTCTTCCCTAGCACTTCCTACTTATTGTGATTAGCATCTACATATCAGAGAAAACATTTGACCTTTGTTTCTTTGGAATTGGCTTATTTCACTGAGCATGACATTCTCTGGCTCCATCCATAATTTCATTCTAATTTCTGGCTGAGTTACATTCCATTTTGTGTGTGTGTGTGTGTGTGTATCTCATTTTCTTTATCCATTCATCTGTTGAAGGGCAATACGTTGGTTTCATAGTTTAGCTATTGTGAATTGAGCTGCTATAAACATTGATGTGGTGCTATCACTGCAGTATGCTGATTTTAAGTCCTTTGGGTATATACTGAGGAGTGGGATAGCTGGGTCAAATGGTGGTTTCATTCCAAGTTTTCCGAGGCCTCTTCATACTGCTTTCCACAGTGGTTGTACCAATTTGCAGTTCCAACAGCAATATATGAGTGAAGCTTTTTCCCCACATCCTAGCAACATTTATAATTACTTGTATTTTTGATAATTGCCGTTCTGACTGGAGTGAGATGCAATCTCAGTGTAGTTTTGATTTGCATTGTTCTAATTGCTAGAAGTGTTAAACGTTTTTCATATATTTATTGATTTCTTAATCTGTGAAATGTCTGTTCAGTTCTTTAGCCCATTTATGGATTGGGTTCTTTTTTTAAGTTACATTTTTTGAGTTCTTTTATTTATCCTGGAGATTAGTGCTTTATCTGAGGTACATGTGGTAAAGAATTTATTTCATTCTGTAGGCTCTATCTTCTCAATGCTTTCTATACTGTGAGGAAGCTTTTTAGTTTGATGCCATCCCATTTTTTTTTGATTCTTGATTTTACTTCTTGTGCTTTAGAAATCTTGTTGAGGGATTTAGTTTCCTAAGCTGACATGGTAGAGATTTGAGCCTACTTTATCTTCAGTTAGGCTCAGGGTCTGTGTTCTAGTGCCTAAGTCCTTGATCCACTTTGAGTTGAGTTTTATGCTGCTTTTATTCTTATTTGTATTCATGATAATTTGCATTCTGACTGGAGTGAAATGAAATCTTCATGTAGTTTTTATTTGCATTTCCTTGATTATTAGAGATATTGAACTTTTTTTATATATTTATTGGTCATTTGTGTTTATTCTTTTTAGAAGTGTCTGTTTTGTTCTTTTGCCCATTTATTATGTTGTTTTTTTTATTATGTTAAGCTTTTTGAATTCTTTATGTATTTTGGGGTATTAATCCCTTGTCAGAAGAGTAGCTGGCAAAGATTTTCTCCCGTTCTTCAGGCTCTCTCTTCATGCTCTTAATCATTTCCTTTGTTGTGCGGAAGCTTTTTAATTTGGTGCCATCACACTTAATGATTCTTGGTTTAATTTCTTGAGTTTTAGGGGTCTTGTTAAGGAAGTTGGGATCTGTGCCAGTATGATGAGTGCAATATATTATACTATTATATTCCACACAAGTACTAAGCAAACATTAGAATGAACAAAAAGAATATAGACATACAGTTATTTAAAATAGGCTATATTTCATTGACTCTGAAGTACACATTAATTTTCACTTAATAAAATCTCTGAATTCAGGATATATCACAATCAATGATTAGAAAGCATTGTACAATGTTGTCCCTAAGTATTGATGGGGGATTAGCTCCAGTAATCCTTCTCCCATCTACACATATTCTAAATCTGGATGCCCAGATACTTATATAAAATGACACAGAATTTGCATATAATCTATGAAGTCCTCTTGAATTCTTTAAATCGTCCTTAGATTAGTACAGACACAATTCAAAAATATTTTTTTGAATGGCAGTTGAATCCACAAATGTGAAACTCACAGATACAGATGGCTGACATTTCCATTGGTAGATATTTTTCCCTTAGTGATATATAACATAATGGGGTATCTTACAAGTGATGCTTTTTAGATTATGTGACATATTATAATGAAAGAATACTATAAAAATAAGTCATTATAATTTTAAACTTTATAAAATAGTTAAATACCTATACAAATATAATTTACTAACATTAAGAAATGAAGAGCTGAAGTGCCCTGGCAAAAAGATGGACCTAAGATTTTTAAAAAAAATTGTAAGGCTTAATAAGCTGCAAGAAACTGTTAATTGTAAGTGGCAACTTCCATGATAAGCTTACATTTGAAATCATTTTAAATTTTTTAAACTTATATCCAGTAAATTCTCATATTTATAAAGTATTAATATGTTGTTTTGTTGAATATCTCCTGACCAACATCTCTTCATTCCCTCCTCTACCCCGACCCTCCCTAGTCATGGGTAACCTCTGTCTTACTCTACTTCTGTGAGAACCTATTTAGAAGTGTGAGTGAAATCATATGGTATTTGTCTTTCTGGGCCTGTCTCTTCCCACTTAACATAATGTCTTCCAGGTTCATTAATGATGTCACAAATGACAGGATTAAGGCCTGAGGACTTGAACTATATCTGCAACTTTGGAAATGTTAGACCTCAGTGAAGCAACAATAACCAGCAACAATAACTCAGCGAACAACAATCCAATCTCTGACTCTTCTGTGACTGTTCATATTTTTTATGTTACTGAAATTAATCCTCCATTATTTAGATTTGCCATTTAGTCTAAGCCAGGCCATTCTAAGGATAATCTTGCTTTCCTTGTCCATAACTAAATTAAGTATTTATGCCTTCTCTCTGTGTCTGCTCAAAGACTTAATTGTGTTGTAGGAGGGGATGGGCTGGGGGGAAGACATTATCTTGCCTACATGGGTCCCAAGGTTCCATCCCCAGCACTGTGAAAAATTCAAACAATAACAACAACAAAACAGTAAACCAAAGTGGGCGAGGATATAGCCAGGTCTCTAGAACATTAGGAACAAAACGAAGCTAGATTTTGCTGTGTCATGTTTTTGTTCTGATCATTTCTGCTTGTGATAGAGACTATGGCAGAGCCAAAGAAACTGCTGGATTTAACCACTTGCAAATTTTTCTTGGCTCAAGTTAGGAAAACATCAATGATAGGCTTAAAATAAAACTATGAAATATGGTAAGGGGCAGGGTCATGGAAACATCTTGGTTGGAGCCTGAGGAGGAGCAGTTACCTTTAGATGGAAGTAGTTGTTCTCAGAAGGGAGGTTCTGGGAAGGCAAACAAACAATGTGTGTGTGTGTGTGTGTGTGTGTGTGTGTGTGTGTGTGTTTCTACATATGCATGCTATTCCAACCATTCTTACTACATTTGCCCGCTTGTTCCTCTTAGAACTTTAGTCTCCAACCTTGCCAACAATTTTCCTCTTCTTTTATAACCCAAATCAAAGCATATATTTTTCTGGCTAGTGTCTCTTTTAATGATCACAAGTCTAGTTTATGGTTCTAATATCTAATGTGAATTTTAGTTCTTCATTTAAAAAAATCTGCTGCTATTTTCCAACTAGGTAATGTGATGTCAGTAAATTTGTTATAACTCTCAGAGTATGTTACCATTTCTTCCAAACTGAAGCCAACTTCCTCTCTTAACTTCTTCATTTTTGTTAGTGATTGCATCATACCACCACTCCACACTGAAATCCTCCT